TCTTTCCAAACTTCTGGCGAAGCTCAGTTCTATCCTTGTGTTTGTTCACCGAGGCTCCGACTTATTGTTGTGGCAGTTAATCTGGAAGCGAAAGTCATTTTACATAGGGTAAAACGTCATCACCAAAGATACTACAGGAACATAATTTGTCTTGCAGGTAGAGGGTATCATCGACTCTGTTTTATTTATTTTTCGGTAGCATAATATCCATTACTTAAAAGCATCACTCTACTCGGCTATTAATTTTATTATATTATTACTATTATTTAATTTATTTTCTTGCATAAAAATATTACTTAATTTTCTAGGATCGGTTTCAATTCAATATTTCTTCGCCCTTGAGATATCTTAACTTCAGGACGAGCCATGGCATCAAATTGAGATACATAATTTTTAGGATTGGGTAGGGTGAGTTGTTCGAGTTCGATGAGAATTGATGTCAAAAAGTAGGTTATATAATACTTGTGCATTAAAATTTTCAGATTCTTCAAATCTTGGACAACTCGAAAAGGAAGAATGAAGTGCCTGAATCTTAATCGCCGTTATCATATGGTAAATGGAGATTCTATGACGTAAGGACTTGATATTTGTGAAATTTGTGTGAAATGATTATTATTTTTTATTTGATTCACGGATTCGGAGTTATTATTTTCACATTGGTAGGGAATATTTTGCATTTACGCAATGGATAATGCATTAATTATGTTTATTCTATTTGTTTTTGGCTTTTCAATCTAATTTTGTTGTTCATAGAAAGCCAATAAATGCTAGCGGGTAACTGTAAATAATGAATTCGGTATGTATTGGCTTTCTACGCGCAACAAAATCTGATTTGAAAAGGCAAAAACAAACAGAATAAACATAATTAATACATCATCCATTGCGTAAGTGCAAATTACTCCCTACCAATGTGCATTAAAGTTTACATGTTATTCCAATCTTAAAATTCTAGATCTTGAACAACTTGAAAAGAAAAAAGGAAGTGCCTGAATCTTAATCGCCATTATTGTAAGGTAAACGGAGATTCTATGACTTAAGGGATTGATATTTGTGAACTTTGTGTGAAATGATTATTTTCTTTATTTGATTCATGGATTCAGTCATTATTTTCACATTGGTAGGGAGTACTTTGTGTTTACGCAATGGATGATGTATTAATTATGTTCATTCTATTTGTTTTCGCCTTTTCAATCTAATGTTGTTGTGCGTAGAAATCCAATAAATGTTAGTGATAATTGTAAATAATGAATTTGGAATGTATTGGCTTTCTACGCGCAACAAAACCAGATAAGAAAAGACAAAAACAAATAGAATAAACATACTTAATAAATCATCCATTGTGTAAACATAAAGTTTTTCCTACCAATATGAAAATTATGACTCCGAATCCGTGAATCAAGTAACGAAAATAATCATTTCACACAAAGTTCACAAATACATGAAACATGTTTACAATTGAAACTAAAACATGATGCATGTGTATAGAATATTATAATTTAAAATTCAAATGTATGGTTGTAAATTCATATGAATGAATTTGAATGCAAAGTTTGAATATTCATCTCATGCATTTTTGTTTCAATTTATATAATTGAATGAAGCATATGTTTGCTCAACAGTATCGATTTATTATCCCTAGTGGTGTATGCCTTTAAAAGGCCCCTTATAGTTCATTTCGAATAACAACATCAAACATTCATATTTAAATTCTCTCTCTCTCGCTTTTTTCTACTTCATTCTGGTAAGTTTTCGGTCGATATTCCAGATACTTTTGTTACCATGGATTGAAATTTTCTAACTGGATGATAACCAATGGCTTCTTTTTGGAGGATTTAGAGTAATTAAATTGCTAAGTCATACCAAATGCAGTTTCCAGATGTTTGATGGTGTATTCACCCAAATATCAATCAGTGAAGGCCCAATGCCGAAAAAGCCCAATGCAGATGATGGGCAGCCCCAATAAGACATGCGGCCGAATATCCTCATCGGCCCAAAGGATTAGAGTATACAGGCCCCATGGATTGGGCTGTCCCGCGACCAAATAGGTTGGGCATGACCTAGAGTAGCTTAGTGGATAAGACTTGGTTTGGAAAGAAGTTGGGACTTGGGAGGAAAAATTGGGATAATATATTATCCAAATAAGAAATTAACAAGATTCAAACAAAATCAAGATCTAGGCAATTTTTAATACACGTCATATTCATCATTCATCTTCTTCTTTAATTTAATTTTTCTCTGTATTTTCTTTATTAAAGAACATTATCTTTTCCAGCTTTTTATCAATAAAAATTCCAATTTTTAGTTTATTCCTTGTGTTATAGTTTTAGATTCTAGTTTCCTTGATCCGTAAATTATTCAGATATCGCGAGATAGCTCGGATCTTTTCTTGAGAAGGCCGAGGAACCCTTAAGAATAAATCGATTCTGGAAAACTTCCAGTTAAGCCGCCGAAGGTGATTTTTGAAAACAATATAATTGACACGCTCAGTGGGACACCGACGTCTCGTGACTATTGCATGCAAATTTGGAAGAGAAAATTGACACCGCCAAAAACTATGAAGATGTCAAAAAATAAAGAAGCTATGGGCAACTCGTCATCTTGCCCCGCGCAGGAGGCTGTTCCGCACGACGAGACCTCCGCGGTGGCTGGAATGCCAGACCTTATCATTAGCCTTCCATCCAGTGTGCTCCGGGAGCAGATCGTGAGGGAGATTCAGTCCTCCATGCATGAATCTACACTGGAACTTTCCAGGTACATGACCGACATGCTGAAGGCCACTATCCGGACTGAATTTGCTTTGCTTCGGGAGGAGAAAGCTCCAAAAGGCAAGGCCCCGACGACCAGCTCCAATCTGCAGAAAACTTGGCCTCCCACCACCCTCACAGCCAGCTCCGGGGTGGATACAACCTCCTAGGCGCTCAAGTATGGTCATGTTAGAATTTTCAGCAATAACAGATTTGGAGAACCTCCGCTCAACGCCCAGAAGCTTGGAGAATCTAGCGCACTGGCTGGGCAAACCTCTTTTGGGCCACCTCCGACAGACGGATTTGGCATGACCTTTGGTTTAGTACCATCAACTCCAAATTGGCATTCAAATTCGTTATTCACCGGAGACACACTCAGCACCCCAGCTCCCGTTCTGGGCCTTCAAGGACATTAGACGGCTGGACAAGGGACTTTCAATGCTTGGGAGCAGAGCCGACAACTGTTCTAACACCTTAACTCGCCCCAACACCTTCTGGAACAATGTGGGGACCGGGGGGAGCTGTTCTATTGACATCCCAGTATATTGGAGAGCATGTAGCTGCTACGGAATGTCAGTTTGCTACTAGTCTGGGTTATAGTAGAATTACGAATTTTCTACCCAACTAGTCCCTAGAAATTCTCCATTACAGCAGGCCCCAGTATTTAGAGAAGCTACGGAAGGCCCTCGAGTTTGTTTTCCACAACGGGGACCTGCTCATTAGGCCTTCCCAAAACCAGCATCCCGCAATACGTTGCCCGTCCAAGCAACTTCCGAACAACCTGAGGGGCAAGCATAAGTAGTATCACTGCCTCATACACTTTTAAATCCCCAAACGATTGAAGATTCAATTTGGAGGATTTATGATGATCCCATCCGCCTACCGGCTAGGCCTTACTATCAAAGATCTTTCCCGAGGTACATTCCTTTGGATCATCCGCTACCCCGCAATGCTCGAATCTCTGAATTCATGTTGTTTTCAGGGGAAGACTCCCGCTCCACCATCGATCATATCAGCTGATTGACGGATCAATGTAGAGGAGAATACGGTAATAACGAATGGTATAAACTCTATCTTTTTTCCTTGTCTTTGACAGATCCAGCTTTTTCATGGTATACTTTGCTACCTCTGAACTCCATCCACACACGGGCAAACATGGAGAGAGCCTTCCATGAGTGCTTCTACAGCCCTTTTTCCAGAGGTGACCGTCTCAAATTTGAAAAATTTACGTCAGCGTGATGACAAATCTGTGGAGCAGTTCTTGAAACGCTTAAGAAGATCGGAAAGTATGTGCCAAGTTTGCATACCAGAGAACCATGTGGTCAACATGGCAATAGATAATATGACACACCAATTGTGTGATAAATTGGCCCTCTAAGAGTACCATGACTTCCGGCAGTTGACATCCAAAACTGTGAAGGCCGAATAACTCGTGAAAGTTGGTTTGTTTGGATTTGAAATTGGAGTAATGATTTGAATTTTAGTTTAAATTATTTTGATAGGATATTTTATGCTATAAAATAAAATAGTACTCCACTAATAATTTTATTAAATTTATGTCACTTTTTTTTTTTTTTTTTTTATCATTTGTTAAATTTATGAGCAATTTATTTATATAATCAACTTTATCTACTAATAATTTTGTTAATTTATTTTAATAAATAATAATCAATTTTTTACTATTTTGTATACTTACCTCACTATTTTTTATAATAATTTAATAAATTTTTTATCATATTTTTTTTATTTTTTTATCTATCTTACTTTAATATTAATATATAATTATTTTTATCCATGCCCAAAATTTAGATAATTTTACGGATGTAGAGATTATTATTTTTAATTGAAAATCCTAACAAAATGAGTAGTAAATTTTTTTATTTAAAATTAAAAACTAACACAGTATGTTCTTTGAGTAAATATTACAATTTCTTAAAACAATATTTTTTAAAAAAATTAATATATTATATTTTTATTATTTTTATATTATTTTCACGAGTCCTTTACGTAGAAATATATATATATATATATTTGAATAATTTTACTAAATAAATTTATTTTTTATATAACTAGACCGTGCGTATCAGGCTTGACAGCCAATTTAACTTTATAGTTTAACAATAAATACAAACTGTTTGGACAAATCTAACCGTTTCATCCAACCATTCGCAGTCATATTCACAGTCGCGCATGCGCCCCGACTCTTTCTTGCTCGTCCAATTTTATATATTTATATTTAGTTTTAATTTTTGCCAACTTTTCCAAAGCTACTTTTTACGCAATTTTGGGGCGTCTGGGGTATAGCAACGTAACGATTACAATTAGGGCTATTTTGCATCTTTTCATTCCACCTTTCCCTTTGTGCTTTTCCAGGCCATCCTCGGACTTTTGCTCCTAAATTCTCAACTTCCCAAGGGGAGACCCCTATCCGGGTTTAGATTTTTCCGTTTTCTTCTTTTTTCGGTCGGGGTTGCGCTTTTTTCTTTTTTTTTTTTTTTTTTTCCTGATCTTGAAAGTGATTTGGCTAAAGAGATAGCGGAGGTGGATAAGAGATAGGTAGAGAAATGTTTTTCGTATCGAGATTTTGGGAGAAGGTGTGTACGGTGGCAGAAGGGGGATCTCATTATTGTTCCAAGAAGACTGACGATAAATATGGCACTCCCCATGGAGAGGTATATCATCATTCAGTTTCCCCCTTTTGAATTTCAATCGATTAATGTGTCCCGAATAGAAAATATGGAGTTTATTAAACCTAAATCTTGAATATGAATGCTAATGCTTTGGTGGGAGGATTTGCGATTGTGGATGTCTTAAATTCTGTGGCAAATTCTTTTTAAGACGATTCGTGAAAATTAAAAGGGCAAATTTGTTTAGGTCTCCATGCTTCCTGATGATAAAAACTTGCTTGGTTCTTCAATGCTGCTTTTAGTTTCACTGTAATGGTGACCCGAAGGCATGTAGTGCTCAATAATCAATAATGCCTTAACCTTGGTGATGCTATAAAAATTAACGAGACATAGTTCTTATGCTCGAAAAAATAGTTGGTGTGTGTTGGTCTTGAGTAGCATCTCTTGAAGAAGATTGGATGTTTGTATTTTGTGTGGGTTACGAACAGTTGTTAATCTGCCTGTTATATTCTAAATCTTCAGGAATCTGGACGGATATTAAGCATTGCCAGATTAAAATGTTTCCTTCGGGGGCTGGATATAAAGGCTTACATCTTTATTTTCGTATTGGTACCGACAGCTGTCTTTGTTACACATATGCATGGTCAAAAGATAACGTATTTCTTGCGACCATTATGGGAGTCTCCCCCTAAGCCTTTCCATGAGATTCCGCATTACTATCACGAGAATGTGTCGATGGAGCATCTTTGCAGACTTCATGGTTGGGGATTACGTGAGTTTCCTAGGCGTGTTTATGATGCAGTTTTGTTCAGCAATGAGGTGGACGTGCTTAAGATAAGGTGGAAAGAGATCTATCCTTATGTAACAGGGTTTGTCCTGCTAGAGTCGAATTCAACATTCACTGGGTTGCCAAAGCCTTTTGTGTTCTCTGCAGTCCGAGACCAGTTTGAATTTGTTGAGCGCCGATTCTTTTATGGGCAAGTCCCTGGGAGGTTTAAGAGAGGAGAGAATCCTTTTGTTGAGGAAGCGTATCAGAGACTTGCATTAGATTTTCTCCTCAAAAAGGCTGGCATTCAAGATGATGACTTGCTGATTATGTCGGATGTTGATGAGATACCTAGCAGGCACACGATTAATTTATTACGGTGGTGTGATGGTATACCTCCAATTCTTCATCTTCGCCTCAAGAATTATCTGTATTCGTTTGAGTTCCTCCTTGACAATAACAGCTGGAGGGCGTCCGTACACGTTTATCAATCTGGCAAGACAAGGTATGCTCACTACCGGCAATCTGATGACATTCTGGCTGATGCAGGATGGCACTGTAGCTTTTGCTTCCGGCGCATCAGTGAATTCATATTCAAAATGAAAGCTTACAGTCACGTTGATCGTGTGAGATTCTCTCATTTTCTGAATACCAAAAGAATCCAGAGAGTCATATGCAAAGGAGCTGATTTATTTGATATGCTCCCTGAAGAGTATACGTTTAAGGAAATTATTGGGAAAATGGGACCCATTCCGCACTCCTACTCTGCTGTTCATCTCCCTGCATATCTTTTGGAGAATGCGGATCGATATAAGTATCTTCTACCGGGGAATTGCTTGCGAGAGAGTGGCTAGAATGAACAGCTTGAGTACATAATGCATTTTGTATAGGTTTGAGCTCAGGTATGCCTCCCAGTCCCAGAGAAAAACAAGGCAACTGTTGACCAACTAATGACTGTCGTGTGTTGCTTTTATAACCATGCTACATGTCCGGCCTACTTCTCTATATCCATTCTTTCGACAAGTGGTAGAGCGTGTATCATCGAGCTGAGTGTTGTATATAATTTTCCTTAGTTTTTTCTGTGTTTAGATTTGTGTTTCTTGCTAATGAATGGTATCGGTGCACGGCTGTTGTTACAGGTACAAGTTTTGTAATGAGCCTTGAGCTTCATGTTGGCTTTTAGTCTGTTGAAGGAAATATTTAATGTCGGATCAATCTGTTTGTTTGTGTATATTGTTTAATTCCTTGATAAGCAGCTATAGCATTCTTCATCCAGTGTCTATTATCGATTGTAATGAATTTTGAGGCGTGCCCATTTCCATTTGGATACTGTAAGGTGAAATCAAGAATTATTGTAACAACAACTATTTTTAAGATTCCCCTGAGTGGGGAAGGGAATAAAGCAAGGACAGCTCTTGATCTGGAAATCAATCACTTAGTCGAATTAGATTCATATTCATTTTGCACAATAATCAACATTGGAATCAGAATCAGATGCACCCTCATCACCAAATCAATCTATATAAGCAACAGACCCTAAACTCAGTAACACCATATCACTTCAAACATCAAAATCTGAAAATGCAGAAGTATCCTGTAGGAGGAGGAGGAGGAGGAGGAGGAGGCTACAAAGAGCAGCACTACCACATAGAAGAAGTCGTAGACTTCGCATTCAAGGATGGCGACGACTATCACTACAGCTCGGGCTCTTCCATGCAGATGATGAAGCCTGGCGGCCATCACGACAAGCCCCACCCCAAGCACCACTATGGCGACCACAACAAACCCCACCCCAAGCACAACTATGGTGACCACCCCAAGCACAACTATGGTGACCACCCCAAGCATAACTACAACAGCCACAACGTGCATGAGTACGAACATAACAAGTACGGCGACAGTTTCAAGGATGGGTGCGACGTCTATAGAGTCCAGTATTCTGAAGGAGAGCAGTATGCCAATCCCTGGAACCGCAGTAATGACTATCCTGGCCATGGTAAGCACCGCAATGCTTATGAGTATCACAGCAATGCGCCTCACAGCTATGGAGTGTCTGATGGAGGATACCGAGGGGGGAGTGGTTACAGCTATGAAGGGCTTCTTTTGCCACCGCGTCACCAAACTTATGTCGAGGAGAAACCATTCTGGAATGCCAAGGCTATCATGGATTGAATTGAATATCCCATCCTACCTAAATAAACTTATCTGTGTGCAATAAGCGACCGTGATCGATGTAGCATGTGCTGCTGGAATGAAAAAAACATATGATTTATAATATAATGTTGGGGACTGCAGTTCAGTTTGTATGAATACTCAGAACCTATACTGAAAGATCACAATATATAAATCTGCAAAGGTTGTTATAATGTAAGACAATGCAGTTCTCTTCAGTTAATCATCTCATGTGATCTCTCTCTCTCAATTGTCTGAAACTGGAAGGATCAATTTCCAGCTGACTCATTGTAATAAGCTTTTTCAGCATTATCCAGCCGGGCTTTGAACATCGCCCACTCTCGCTCGCACCTCTGCCGCACCTGAGCCAATGGAAAACGAACACTTTCAATACAAATATCTGAAAAGAAGTTCACGAATTTAGCTGAGTAGGAAGACAAGAACCGCATACCCCTCGCCAGGGAGCATTTCCACCCTCAGCTTGACCCTACATGATTGATGAACGACGAACAAAAAGATAAAGTAAGCAGGAATGTACTTAGAATAAGGTAGAAGGTGTAGCCAATGGAGGAGGTAAATCTTGAATTGTTCTGTACCTGGTTTCCCAATGAAGGTACAGTTTGATGGACTATCCATTGAGCGTCGACAACTCCAATTTTTTCGTGAGCAGGCTGCAATCGCGGCATCACAAACAAACAATATAAGACTGATTAAGGAATTACAAATGATGCCATGCCAATGAGGTGTAGAGAATTAGTGACCTCAACACATTTTTGGAGAGCGAAGTCGAGACCCCATCCGTGAACCAAGTCATTCTGCAAAGTGTATATGCATACATATAAACAAAGTAATGTCAGACCAATGAGAGAATCAGCAAATATGGTTTCCATGCTCCATGAAACTACTATGATAAATGACAGCAACCTGAATCAGATACCATACGCAGCGCCATGCATCTCGAGAAAACACAGGAGCCATAATTTCTACAAACCTATATATCAAGAAGAGGCACTGTAATATAGACAACTGATACTGAAACTGCAGCAAACGTAAGGATATCAGGCCAGACAGGTTCATGAAAATACATAGAAAAACAAGTTCATACGCTGCGCAGGGAGGCAAACGAGGATCAGGGCAAAATCCCGGCTTCTCCTTTGTTTCCCTACACGTAAATAGAAGAATTGCACACAATAGGCCACTTAGAAAGGTAGGATGATGGAAATGTAGTCTTAAATTATTATTGTTGCAAAGAGACACTGCCATACATGTGAACCTCACTGTCAACTCGCCTTCGGGTCATCTGCCATGGCATTCTCGCATTTGGTTCTAGACCAGGCTGCGAAATTTCTAAACCATACTTCTTCACAAGCTTAATATATCTGGAATTGCGAACGTAGGGAAATATATTACTTTTAACTTAGAAAGGTAAAGCTTCTACTCGAAGAAATTGAGTTCATGTATTCTTACTCTTCAGCATCGAAATGCTCAACACCGAGGTCTTCATCCCAAATAAAAATGTAGTCGTAAGGTGCAACAACATCAGGGTGCAGAAACCTTTTAGCATACCACCTTTTGCAAAATTCATAGACATCTTTGTCTCATTATGATTTCGATGAATTATAACAGCTTTTCTGTAAGAAAGGCACTGCACTAATCATAGGCATCTAAAGATTTTACGGCTTTACCATTTGGTTTGTTTCCTAGCACTAATGTGGATAGCTTGTTTGGACCACTCAAATTCATCCCACTCGGAGCTTCTTCCATCGTAATGAAACAATAGTATGGTAAAATTCCCTGAAAACTGCAGACAAACCTGTGCAGTGAGAATGGATAGAGAGAGTGGGAGCTGAGAGGAATGAAGCATATACTGACCTTTTTCACAGCTGCATCAATGTTATTTCTTTGTTCATACCCAACAGTGAATGTGACTAGATATTTTGCTTTGCTGGGTAAGTCCTAAACAGACACAAATTGATTAGAAATCTAAATCACACGAAAAGATGTTATTGCTTTGTCAATACGATGCTGTGAATATATATATCGAATCTAATTCAGAAAAATTCATCAAGAACGTCACGATCCCCATTTCATATCTAGACAATTTCGTTAGCTAATTTTCCAGTCATTTAGAAAAAGGCAGACATTTCCAAGGAAGATGGCGTACATACCTCACTAGGTAATCCCCACAATCTGCGGAGATAAAGATCTGATTCAGAAGCAATAATGCCTGGAGGCAACCTCTCTGCACCTCTAGGATTTGAATGCAACAGTATCTGTAATAGGATCATTCAGAAGATGTATATTACAGAATCATTAATATATACTAGCAAGACAATACAAACCTTTGTTAGATTTGTCGAAATCTGGCTTTTTTCAGTGATGATTGTACTGTGTTGGTTCAAGTCATCTGAGATATTTGTCCCATTGATTGGACAATCATGACCAAGAACAGAAGTTATATAAGGCTGTCAATAAAAAGCATAGATTTAGTAAAGCATAGCCCAGAATATATGGATCAGGTCATACAAGACAAACAGAGGAATCCTCTTAAAGATGACGCAGTGAATGTATGTACGTATGTGTACCTTTAGCAACAGAATTTTTTGAATGGACACTCCTATAAAGAAGCCAAGCATGATTCCAATGCTAATGGTCATAAGAATTCTCATGCTTTCATGAGATTTCTGGGCTATTGTACTGATAAACAACGATCAAAAGGTACACCATGTTTGTTAGCTAGGCAATACCCAAGACATGCACCAAATAATGTATATAAAACTTACAAACCTATTTACTGTCGTCTTCCCTTTCCTTACAGACTCCATTCTCAGAATTCCAGTGCACCACCAAATGCAGGTAAGAAAGTGAAGAAACTGAAAATATTTGTAGCAAGTACAAGTTCTGTGAACCCACGTGCAAAATTGTGTTAGAAACCGGAAGGAAGAAGAAAGAAAACAGAAGGAACTAGAAATTTAGGATTATGAGAGTAATAAGAAGAAAAATAGCCTGTTGAAGGGGGAAACAATGTAGATTGCTTACAAAGGTAGTCGAAGGAGCCAAAATACCTTGCAGAGGATCTCTATCTGAATCCTAATGATAGATAGAAAGGGAAGAATTATGAGTTGAATGCTCGTGAGCCCACGTCTGTTAAAACACCAATGGCTTCAAAGCAACAGACCGGAAATGTGCCAATTGAGCTGAGCTGAAAATTATACACAAACAAAAATTACTGAAGCAACCAAGGACCTTTTCTTTTATGGATCGGAGTGCCCACAATACAAAACCATTAATTTCTTTTGATTTATCACTCCACATTCAAGAACTTCCACTCAGTCAACTGTGCATAAAAAAAGAACTGGCTTTCCGTGCATTCAAAGGTACAACAGCTCCTGTAATGAATGTATTAGTATTTCAAAACATGATAACTTCCTAATCAAGCTAGCCCACATGAATCTTGAATTATTAATCCGTGATTTAAGTTAAAAACACGTACAGCAGATGCAGTATGCACGGTATTCCACAAGTGAATGTAAAGGGCAGGCTTGACATGCAGGGCAGCACATTACTTTAAGCCTTAAGTAAAGCATGACCTCGCATTTATTCAGGTTAAGATAAAAAAAAAAAAAAAAAAAAAAAAAAAGGGAAAAGAAAGGGCAACATAATAGGCTTTTTAGAGTGGATGAAGCTAAAAAAAACTAAAAAAGACATTGATCAATACAATAAGTAGAGTAGGCAAAAATGCAAAACCCGGCCATTTGAATTGATCATTTCTGTAAAAGTAACACAGCAAATACCGAAATCTCCCAATGAACAGAAGCCTGTCTATCTTCACAGCTCAAATATTCCAGTGTTATGTATTACAACAGTTTATACAACATGACCAGAATCAGAACAAGTAGCGCAACAAAAATCTGCCCCGAAGATCAAAGTCGAAACTTTCAGGGAATGCAGCAGCAGAATTAATCTCTTCTTTTCTATCCTCGAGAACAACAGCATAATCATACCTATCATTAGGCCAAAACAATAAGTAAATCAAAATGTAAAATATAAGTTCAACCACAAGCTCCATTGCAATGCTCAAACACCAGAACTTGTAGCTTGTGATAGTCCTGAACACAAACAAGACCAATCTCGTGAAGCCAACATATACATAGAGTGCTGCTGCGAAATTCTCAAAGGCCATTTTCTGCACCCCTCTCCTTGGCTCCTTCCCTTCCATGAATTTAACGTCCAGTATATATATTGAAGTATGAACTGGTACCATCATCATAATGTTGCATAAAAAATCAGTGGCGTAGTAGGCAACTATCCAGTGCCTGTATTTTTCATTCGATTGTCCGATCACACGGATTAGGATAAAACAGATACATGCTACAATTTGCAGAAGAATGGTGATTGCCATTGTGTATTTCTTTAGTTCTTGTAGGCTGGGCTTGAAGAGGGACCAGGCAGAGCCAAGTAGCATGATCACAACGACGAATAATATGCTTCTGAGAACGTACATTGTAAGCCAAAACACATCCCAACCATGGGCCGATCCTGAGTGCTTAATGGAATGCTGACTACTAGCATGGGATAAAAGTTCCAAGAATCTGAGCAACAATAAAACAGCCATCATAATGTGTATCTTTTGCACGACGAGCTTGCTCTTGTAGCATACATGTGACCATGTTAAAATAAAACCGAAGTGAAACATGGAATAAATGTATAGGATTGTTGGCAAAGGACTGAATTGCTCGTCGGTGTAGTCAGGATCACCATTGGGCTGGACATTGTATGTCTTGAGATCAAGAGTGGCAGAAACTGAGGCATTATTTGCACAATTCACAAAGAAAATGTAGTACAAATCTGGGATTGCGACAGGAACACTTGTCCTGAAATGCGATTTGGATGAAATGATTTTGTCATCGAAAGTGAAAACTGGGAAAATGAATGGTTTTCCTATAAGGCAGATGTCCTTGATTAGAGCAATCTTCATTGCCTGACGGGCAGGCGTTGGGGCGTAAAAACAGCCGATAAGTGAAAGCTTTACAGGGTTGCGGATAGGCTTGGAAGTGGTGGTGCTGATGATGGAAACCGAAGAGACAGAGATGGAAATGAAACCCTCATTACCAAATCCGAAGTCTTGGAGAGGGATGAAGCGCCGGGAATCCGACGATATTTTAATGGTCTGGATTTCTGAGTTAACAGCAAGTGAATTGAAGAAGAAGAGGAAGAGAAAACAGAGGAGATGGTGGTGAAGATTTTCATGCATTTTCATTTTAGAAGTGCAGATGCTGTTGCAGTGACGTGATGTGACGTAGGTAGTGTGATGAGGAGGAGGAAGATGAAGACAGCCACAGCCACAGCCTCAGCGTCAGCTTAGCTTTAGGATCCGATTGATCATAGAATTCACATGCCATTGAATTAAGTTAATTCAAAGCCAAAGGTTAATCACAACCATCAGCTTTTGCTGCGATCAATCCGCCTTCTTGTCTACTAAGTTAGTGTTTTACATTATATGATTAATTGATTAATTAATATGCATGCATTTCTGCTTTATATCTAATTTACCTAGCAAAAATATTACTACAAAATTTGTAACTTCAGTAGTACTAATAATAATATTGTTTCGTGTCCAAAGATAATTACGTTTTTTAGTCATTTAAATATGAAGTATTTATTCCCGTCTCATTACACATATTTTACAAATTTTTTTAAATGTAAGTCTATTTACATAAACACAATTATGTCTAACTAAGTCACAAAAGGTAAAAAAGTCTATACTAAAAATTACTATTTTTGAGATATTTTCAACAATACAAAGTGAAATTCGAAAGAATACTACCGAATTTGGATAATATATATATATACATAAGTTTTTCAATGTATTAAAGTAAATAAAACAAACAAGTAAATGATGACCCCCAACAAGTGATTCTTAATTTTGACTGATTGAAGATGTCTTTTTCCCCTATTCCCAGGATATTAAATATTTCTTCAAAACTACCCTGAGCAGTCAGAACCTCCCTGAACCGTCGCCAAATCGGTTACCAAACTTTCTATCAGTTAACCCTAGAAGCCAATCTTTTGACGACACGTGCCCTTAACCGACTACTAACCGCTTTTGTCGGTTGTGCACTTCAACCATCCCATTTTTCTCACAACATGTGTGCTTCCCTGCTTATCAAACAAACTCGGCTCAATCCAAACTGCAACCGACGCCTTATTCTCTCATAATGGGTGTGCTTTCTTGCCTAGCAACCGAACCCAATCCAGTCTGAACTGACCGACGCCCTTATCTAAATCCCTGGCCCACCGATGGGCCACTTTTCTTTTGTTTTGAGCCAAAACCCTAATTATATATTTTTTATACTTAACAACTTGCTCCCGCCACCTGACTTCCAAACGTCATTTCTCGATCGCCGTATGATAAGACGTTTGAGAGTATGTAGCTTAGTGACAGTACTTTTCTGACGCCGTTTCAGGTCCCATCAATGGGGTTTTAAATACCCCATTTCGAAATCATTACCTATATATCTCCTTCAATAATAAAACTCTTTGTTCTATCTGCTTTCCCTTACGTTCTCCAAATTTCTTTCGATCTCTTCGTTCTATCTGCCTACCTTCACTTTCTCTAAATTTCTTTCGATCCACATCTAAAGTTTAACAATGGACAACCAATGTGTTCCAGCCCTACTTGTCGATGGATCCGACCCATAAATTTCTTTCATATCATCCAAAGTCTTGACCCCCACCATTCGTCCCTACTGCACTACCTATGAGGATTTCAATTGGATGAGGGAAGTGCTAGGAGCCGAAAATCCTTTAGCCATTAACAATCCTGCTTATAACTCCGTCCGTATAAACGACAATATTAAAACCCACTTAACCGATCCCAAAGAGCCCTATCGCACTTGGTATACTAGGGTAGCTGAACGTTTCCAGGAACAATGGAAACGCCAACATATTGACCAAGCCATCTTCCTTTCCACCCTTCCCTTCCATCTGCACGAGAAGGTGTTGTTGGCCATGGCGGCCTTCTGGCTTACGGAAACGGGTGTCTTCCTGTCATTGGGCCCTATTGGCCTGACCCTGATGGACGTGGCCCTGATCGTCCACCTTCCCATCGTGGATGAGGATCCGGTATCGGGCTCCTTGGATGGACAAGAGCCCGCAGCAGACCACGTTGGGTGGTCATTGGCATGAGTCAAAGAATGGAGCTGGACGAAATTCATAATCGACCAGCAGGGGGCGGAAAGGATCCCTGTAGCCGACCGCAAGCACACCGCCTTTCTCTTGGCTTTGTAGGTATGTCACAGTCTCCCCATCTAACTACGTTCTTTCCTCACACTTAGATTTAGCAATTTACTTGGTCTCAAGTCGCTTCTTTTCATTAGGCACTCTTTTCCTTGCTAACCTTTTTTAGGGTCTGTCCCGAGTTAGCACCCGCCTCACAAATACCAAAAAACTAGATACGGTTGCGTCGGATTTTTTTTTTTGTTTTTAGAATGTCGAGTATATATAAGTTGTCATTCACCATAAAAGTACCAAAACCAACCAAACATGAATTCAAAGACAACTCAACTTTATTGTTTCCAAAAGAACAATGATAACCAAATTTGTCCAAATAAAAAATAGAAACCAAATTCCGTCAAAATGATCTTACAATAAAAGTTTCTCAAAATTCAAGAAAAATGTCTTTTACTCAATAACAACTTAAAAATTTCCACGACTTCCACCTCTATTGAATCCCCATTTCCAAAGTACATGTTTCTTTCAGCATCAGTTGAGTTTCGGTAGCTCAGACAACCCTACATTGAAATACTGATGTTAGTAGTTGATCCAAAGTCTACCACAAAGTGTTTCGAGAAACTGAAGCTAAATTAACCGCAGAACAAACAAAAGTAAGAAAGCACCCTTCTTCACACGCCAACCGTGAAACTTAATACAATTCTTCTTCTCATGTCCAATTTTCTTGTAAAAGAAGTAAGTCTTCTTAGGACGAGCTCGAGGTAATGGAGCTGGAACTGGAACATGAGTCTTAGTAGTCTCAACCTTCACGGTTGAGAAGTAGAAACAATATGGAGAGTCAGATGAAGTCAAATGCAAATCTTGAGTGATTAAAAGAATTCGTCTTCCAAGATCAGAGCGTCGGCTTCTTTTATCATTGATGGGTGAGAAGTAGAAACTATAAGGAAAGTCAGATTTATATACGACGCTCTGTCACGAGGACCTATTTAAATAATAAGACAAACATAATTGTAATTACAATTATGCCTTTAATTAATATTATTAATTTGTCACGTCACCAAAATAATAATATTATACATGGGTAGTTGCATTTTCATTCAATAACAATCAAACTCATCAGTCAAAAATTAATTATATTAGTTACACCACTTAAAATGATATGACTGAACAAAATAATAACTTTAACAATATGTTCGATATACTTATTTGATCTTAAATCCAACATAGTATATTTTAAATTAAAAGTATTTGTAATGCTTTATGGTTGTATATTTAGTAAAAGAATAATAATAAGGAAAATGACAAAACAAATATATTTCAAACATTTAACGCAACAAATAAAATGCAATTATTGTTCATAATTTCTTTTTGACATTATACTAATATTAAAAATATTTCCGAAAATATATTATAATTAGGATTTGGTGTGTGCGTTTCTGTTTTTTTATTTTATTATTTTTTTTCTCTACAGGTTTTAAGGGTGTCTTTTATAAAAAGATATCATTTTTAAAAGGGTAAATTGTTTTTTAGTCCCGTAATTGAATCCCCTTATTATTTTAGTTCTCCGGCGCTGGAGATGCCCGCGTGGCTCGTCGGAGGTGACGTGTCCGCCATGTGTCACTGACCTGGCGGACACATGGATTTTTTACTTTTTTTTTATTTTTTAAATTTTTTAAAACTTATTTTTAATTTATTTTAAATTTTATTTATACTTTTTTTATTTGATCCAATTAAAAAAAAAAAATCCACGTGTCCGCCTGGTGTCGCTGACCTGGCGGGACACCTGGCGGACACATCACCTCCGGCGAGCCACGCGGGCGTCTCCGGTGCCGGAGGACTAAAACATAAAAAATATTTCACTTATGGGACTAGTTTGTGACAGGCTCCACTTACAGGACTAAAATGATAAAATGGTCCAGTTACGGGACTAAAAAAAACAGTTTACCCTTTTTAAAAGTATATTTTTTCAAAAAAATAATATATTATATGTATTCAATATTTTTATATTATTTATATAATTTTTTATATCTACATAAGAAATTATTTTTTAAAAATTATTCCACTAAATAATCAAACTCTAAAATTTTGAATAATAAAATGAATAGTTATTTTATAAAATTTAAATTGATATTTTATTAAATATATATTTTTTTATCTATTTTTTTATTTTTCTATTAAATTTATCTTATTATTAATTTTAATAAAATAAAAATAAAAATAAAAATCAATATTTATTTAAAATAATTGCTATTATAATTATTACATATTTGGTACAAAAAATAAAATGGTAGAAAAATTAGAGTAGACAATGAAATTGCTAAAAGTAATTCGAAAATGAAATTTATTTCTTTTGTTTGGTAAACAGTGAATTCAATTGAAATATATAAAAAATGTAACTATTTGGATGAATCGACTAATAATACTGTAAATGATTAATCGGATATGAAAGAGTTTTAACGAATGAAAATTTATAAAAAAATATTTTTGGTGTTTTTTTTTGTTAAATAATAGATTAGATACTCCAAAAAAAGAGCACTATTTGCTTTTTGTACGTAAATTTTTTAATATTAGTATTATATTGATTTATAGTTAAAAAAAAATGTCCCTATTAGATTGTGTTATATTTTTGTAATATATTAGAAATTGTAAAGGTATTAATTATATTGCGTAGGTAGGCAATACAATTACTAAATTAGGAAATTATATCCTTATTTTGAGATAGACAAAAAAAAAATGATATTCTTTTACGGGACGGAGGGAGTACAATGTTTTGTAAAATTAAAATTTAGTGTAATTTTTTAACAACTACTAAAAAATAAATATTTGAATAATAAATTAAATATGATGTTGTAAGATTGAAGTAATATAATGTAAAAATTAAATAATATATAAATATAAAAATAATAAAAATAAATAATATATTGCATGAATATACAAATTACTATATAATGAAAATAAAATCAAAGAATGAAATGATTTATTTCTCAATTCTTAATTATCTAACTCAACTATACAAAAAAAAAATAAAATCATTTACATTTATTAATGTAATACTTCCTCCGTCTTAAACAAAGTACAATATTTTTTTTGGGCACTGAGTTTTTAGGCGGGTAATATTAAGTAGGATAATTTAAAAATTATGTGATGTTATGAAAAGAGAAATGTATATATTTTTTTTTTATTCGGATGATGCAAGATGATAAAATGTGAAGTAAAAATTAAATATAATTAATTATTTTCTATTTTAAAAATATTGCAGAATGTTTAAGAAATACAAAAATATATATATATATATATTGCAGAGTGTTTAGGAAGAAGGAGTCGTATCAGTTTTTATTTATCGCACATGCCCTGTATGCCTACGAAAGAGTAATATTTTAATGGAAATTGAAGGGACTGAACAGTAAAACAATTAGTTCAAAATACAAATGAAACCAACCCATAATTAAATACTAGTGAACAACGAATTATTTTAAAAAAGAGAAAGAACAAAAGTCAAACAAGAACACACCTTTAATTTGATTTATCTACCAAAATTGATGACACGATTGGAAATACAACCGAGGGAAGTGTGGTACCACTCGAGTCAGTCTGTCTGTGTATGTGTCGTCGCTCAACGGCTACGGAGCAGACATTCAAAGTTTCAACCATCAGCTTTTGACGCCATCAAAGCACCCTACCCTTAACTGCCAAGAGTAAATTCTTTGACCCAACCAAATTTCTAGCCGTTACCACTCGCTCCCTCGCTATATCAACTTAAAAAGCATTCACATCTCCTTGACCAATTAATCATATGATAGATCGATTCCATGGCAGAGGTTGAACCAATCTTGGTTGCAGGCTCCGGATGCCCAGAAATGAATCAATTCCCCGCTGACACCGCCGCCGCTTGCTTTTCTTCTTCTCTGGCATTCTCTCTGTTTGATGATAGTTCGAAGAATCTTCAAGGCACAGCGAATGGTTTGAAGAGAAAGAGACCACTCAAGATCGAGATCCCTAATGTTCTGCGAGAAATTTCTATGGACGCTTTCAAGGGGAAAATTGAGAGTGAAAACGATGGCGCCATCTGCTGCTTTACTGGTTCTAATTCTGGGGTTGGGTTTGGTGTCTGTTCCCTCAAGGGCAAGAAGAAGTTCATGGAAGATGCCCACAAGATCTTTTCTTCTTCAAACGGAGATAAGGTTTGTGTTCCTTTTTTGTTTGTTCTTGTTTTCGACTTCAAATTTATAAAAAAAAAAAGTGTAGGTATTCTTTGGGGTGTATGATGGGCATGGAGGAGGCAAAGCCGCGGAGTTTGTGGCAGATAATTTGCATCTCAACATTTTTGAAATGTTGGGAAAAGGTGAATCAAAAGAGGAAGGTGTTAAGATAGGGTATCTGAAAACAGACGAGGAATTCTTGAAACAGGTAATTAAATTGTCTGTGTCTACAAATTGTTATGGATGATATGATTATGTATGAATGATTTTGGTGGGGTGCAGGGGTGGGGTAGTGGTGCATGTTGTGTGACAGCAGTGATTTGGGAGAGGGAGATGATGGTTTCAAACTTGGGTGACTGCAGAGCTGTTGTGTGTAGGAGAGATGGTGTGGCAGAAACTCTCACAGCCGATCACAGGCCATCGCGGGAGGCCGAGAGATCAAGAATTCAACAAAATGTCTGTCTCTACTATCCTACTCTACTTATCATCATCATCATCATCGTCGTCGTCATCTTCATTAATTCAAATACAGGGTGGATATGTGGAGTTCCATCGCGGAATGTGGAGAGTTCACGGCACGCTGGCTGTTTCAAGAGGCATCGGCGACGCTCATCTCAAAGATTGGGTGGTGGCAGAGCCCGACACACGGATCCTACACTTGACTCCAGAAGTGCAGTTTTTGGTCTTAGCATCTGATGGGCTCTGGGATGAGGTAGGTAACCTCACTCTAACACAACAATGCCTGTGTATTGTATTGTGATGGATGGATGACATTGTAGGTTGGCAATCAAGAAGCAGTGGACATTGTGATAAAGCAAATACAGTCTCAATCTCAGTGGAACATAGGCAGCAGCAGCAGAAAATATTGTTCCTTGGTTAAATCAGAGAGAAGGATATTCCATCCAAAAGGCCGTAGTAGTAAATTGTGCCAGAAAATAAACAAACCATGTCGGGAAAGCCCAAACAAACAAGAAGAAGATGATGATGACGATGAACCATCCTGCTCTTCTCCTCCTCACAAGACCAGGAGAACTTCTGAGGCAAAGAAACTGAAGACGATGATGATGAGAAAAACCAGCAGGAATGAGAATCAGAAGCCAGCAGTGGTCAATGGAGGTGGCCATGGCCTTTTAGGCGCAGCTTGTAAGGAGCTTGTCGATCTTGCTGTGAGTAGGGGTAGTTTGGACGATATTACAGTCATGATAGTTGATTTAGCAGCAGCAACAGCAACTCCTTCATGAATCCGATCCACAAGAACAAGCTCACATAAACCATTACACAACTGCTACAGAAGAGCTTCACTTCCGAGCTTTCTTATGCACTATTATTTAATAACGACAACCCAACAGTGAGTGGTGATGCGGCGTTTCCAATTGTACTGGCTGTGTGTATCCATCTGATGTCCGGTACAAATGAAATAAAAAGGAGGACGGTTATCTTGAAATTCAGTTCCAACAACAAGAAGAAAACCACCTGCCAAGAATGACTCGATTCCACAAAAAACCTCATGTAGTAGAAGAAACAAAGCTGATGGAAATTTCGATATATAATCATATTCGAATGATGTGATGATTGATAAAAATACACAATAAATTGTTCTAAATTATGACAACACCTGAAGATATAGAGGATAGGAAGACCTATTGCCGTGCAACTATGTAAATTATCACTGGATTTACAAAATTTGTTCTCTTTCAACATAGGGAAACTTAACCCCCCCATCTGTACCTAAGTTACCTTCTAATGAATTCAATAAGGTCCCCCCCTCCATGGATATTACAAGCACAGCCAGTTTTTTGTGCCTATATATTTCTAAACAATAAATAGGGGAGCCACCTGGTTCTTCACCTTCCTCAACCATCTGAAACATCAGTAAATGTGACAAAATCGTGACAAAATCATTCCTTCCATACACTCAAAAGGAATCATCATAAGAGTAATCAAAACAACTCTACAACACGGAAAAGGCTTGTAACTATGAATACTTACGCATGTTATTTTGGTGTTCGGCAACACATTCATTGAGACTTTTTTTGTTTTTTTAGCAGAACAAGTAAACTTGCAACCCAGACCTGGTTGAGATCACCTTTTAGTTTTGCTTCAAAGTATGCCACCTCACATATATATCATATTAGGTTTATCAATAGGTGATTTATAGAAAAGCAGAAAACAATAATGTGCCTTCCAGATTTAGTCAGTCAAGGTAGGCTGCTCGACCAATATATTTTAAAATTCTTCACATGAAGGATATGCTTATTCCTCATCCAACATCAATATAATGAAATAGGTAACTCAACATCCAGCTTATTAGAGAGGCATATTAATCCTTAAGGGGATCAAATGATACCGAAAAAATCTACCATTGTGCACAAAGACCTGAGATGCATAAAGAGTTCAATAAGATTTTAGACAACAAAGAAACAAACTGTGTGGCCATGGACTTTTCCGACAAGCATGCATGTCCCAGACATAATTTAAACCACTGAATCAGTCTAGCATCCTGCCTGTAGAAATAAATGAACTGCCTAGTAAATGTGCTGCCTTCAAAATTTGGCCTGTTTGTTGTAGCTAGGTACTAATATTACCAAGACATGAGTTGTAGAGCTTAGGGTACAAATGCATACCTCCACAATGCCAAGCAGACATATTTCATCAGCAGTTCATGCATGCATATTCATTAAGATATATAGTTTGTACCCCATTATTGAATGGGTAAATTATAAAAGTGCTTTAGTAAAAATGCATAAAAATCTCATATTTTATTTATTGCATAATGTAAAGTTTGCACGAAACATCCTTTTCGTATGAACCCTATAATACTTAGGGCTTGTTTATTTTGTCCTCAAAGCCTAGGTTTCTACTATTTGGTTTCTGCGCTTTCTCAAAAAAGATACTCTTTTTCTCTCACAAAAAATCATATCATACATTATTTTAATACCAAACTCAAATCAAAGTTTTTTCCAAATCCATCAAAAGAAACATACCCTAAATTTTATACAAATAAACGAGATAAAATATCTTATGGTTCGCCTTGTGTGACTTGGCTGTCGAGCCTAGTTTGCAGGGTATTAGATTCGACTGAGAGTTTACCCAATAGCAGTTGCAGATCCCCACGTCATAAAAATATATGTATACAGATATATATAAAATATCTTAAATAATTCTTTTGAATAAAATAAATATATAAATAAATAACTGATTAATTCTCATTTTATAATTTTAAAGAGGATGTTTTGTGCAAACTTTAAATTAACACACATGTATTTCACGCAATAAATAAAATACAACGTAATTTTTTGTGCATATTTTAATAAAAACACAAGAGATTGTTATATAATTTACCCTTGTTGAATTATAGAAATACATTCATTCCATTCCCGCACACGAATAAGCATATAAGATTTTCAGTTCAACCATCATGGCAAAATTGTCTCGTCAGCAGAAAGATAGGTACCTTAATTTCATTATTTTCCCAGAATCATCAGCAGGAAGATTGGGGCCAACTGTCTCCACATTGAATGATGTCATTCAGATGAAATGATTATGTCTTCCTTTTGATGACACATTACTCCCTATACGTACATTGAATAATAGAGGAAGTTATCTTCTGTAATTTCATCAGACATGTCATCTTCAGGATGATGAAAAATGTCATACATGTTGTAATATGTTCAAACTCCAGCATTAGAAACAGACTTTCTCCATCCATCCAGGAAGATAGTACAAGACTCATGTCTTTGCACCAAACATCCATCCCTACATCATCTCTTAGTATTTAGTGAAGTTCTGTAAGTTAAGACACTTTAAATCAATGAAGGGTAGCATCATGGGCGAAGCATTGTCCCTTTACACTCTATAAGGAATTGTGAAATTTCCCCGAGGAAGAACACAAACCTGCTACTCTTGAAACATGAAATGAAGGAATTGCAGCTTCTGAATGAGGCCCACAGTATGAAGCACATATTTACTCTTTTTCTACAAAACAAGAACCTTCCACTGGAGGATCATTTTTGCAAGGATCAGTATCTCTGGAATCAAGATGGCTTGGTGATGGCTGACTTGATACAAATGAAAAGTTGGATGATGAGGGTGAGCAGGTAAACAAACTTGAACAACCAGATGTTGAAGGTGAAATAGATGGCGATGTCAAATTGGATTTTTGTTTACTAACAAAAAAGGAAGAAAAGGAATCCACCAAACTGAAAGATGGTGAGCGAGAAAGCAAAGTATTCAGATGGCGATCAGGATTTGATCTTCCTTCTGTCCAATCTGAGGTACCACCAGTTACATATGATGCAAATGAATCTGGGGCATTGTATTGAATACTCGAGGGGATTGATAAATCAGAAGGAGAGACATTGTTTTCGAGCTCTTTACATGCACCCAAATTCTCTAGGCCATCATGTATCTGCAGAGAATTAGATCCCAATTTAGTACAGAGAAAATTTTCTTTTGCAAGATTATTGGCAATCTTTCTTCTCAATCTGTCCCAGCTGTTTTCCATGGCAGGAAGGCAAGTCTCAGTTGCTGATCTTGACAATGGAAAAGGTGGGACTACCCCACCAGCAAGGGCTTTGTGAAAAATTTCAAAATCCAGATCATACTCATCAAGCTTCAGTTGATCAACATGTTGATTAGCAGAGGCTACAAAGAACCTCCTTTCCCCAGACTTTACATTAGACGAATCAGCTAAATCATTTCCGTAGCTAAACGCCTCCCAGAATCTTGGCGTCTCTTCACCTTCTCTAACAGTTATAACAGGACCCTGGACCTTTTCATAACGGATAACTTGAAAGGCAGCTGCCCTGGCATTGTCTGACATAACCTTGGAGCAATACTTCCCAATCCATACATATATAGCTGAAGGAACATGCACTATGAAAGCTCCACGGCAGTCCAGTCTGTCCATGCTTGGTTGACGTAACAATTTTGGCACAAGATGAAGGGGATCATATGGCGAGTGAGGTGCCATTCTGTACACCCTAAGTACTGAAGTTGGACTCGCAGGGAGGGCATGTACACGCTTCTGGCACTGCAAAAGCTGACAAGCAAACCCCACATTTGGGTTTATAATTCCTCTGGCTTCTTTGACATGCTGGAATGCATCATCAAAGCTCTGTCCCTCTTTCCACATAAGATATGCAATGACCAACGATGTTGATCTAGACACCCCCTGACAACAATGAACAAGAAGGCGCCCACCTTGTTCTTGAACATCTTCAAAATAATCAAACACATCATAGAGAATACTAGTAATATCCTCCGAAGGGCAGTCCTGTAGCCAAAGTGTCTTATACACAAGATCGTTCTTGAAATATTCAGGACACGAAAATCCCACACAGTTGAGCACATGGGTGATTCCATTCCGGCGAAGAATTTCCCTATTCTTGGCTATTGCATCACTTCCTAAATAAATGTGATCCAAAATTCTTGAGCATTCCTTGTCAAAGAAAGCAAGTTTGTCTTTCTGACATTGGAATTCTCTTGGATGTTGCTCTGAAATTGAAGTCTCCTGAGGCATCGCTGATCTGGGATTTGCACCAGGTGTTGGAGGATTTGGCCAGATGCCAAGATCATCACACCCGGCTCTAGGCCATTCATCAATGCTTGGTCTGATAATAGAAAGAGGCTGAAGCGGTGGCAAACAGGCTCGTGCTTTGTTGTTCAACTTCGGTTTGGAATTAGACTTTCTTGGTGGACGTTCAGTCCATGATGCAGACCTCGTGAATGGCCTCCAACTTCCACCGGATGCCTGATCCTTCTCGTCTTCCTTAAACATTTCAAAGCTTATGCATCCACTCTGCAACAACACTGGAAACGCATTGAGACCAAAACAAAATATTCAAATGAATTCTAGGGTTCCGGGAAAATCGATATCCATCAACTGAATTACAAATGCATACCGAAACTCTAACTTATAGAACTGGACGCCCGCGATAAACATCAAATCAAAAGCGTGAAGCCATGGAAGTAAACAATTACACGAATTTTTCTATTTGAAGATTTTAAGGCGAGATTTTTGCAAGGAAACCAACACGCACAACCCCCAGCGGGCCATTCATCATATTCAAAATCCTCAGAATTCATTAACCACGATTCAACAAATTCAACCAATATTTCAAACCTAAACCCTTGATTTGGGGATTTGTTATTCCGTCTTCTGAAAGATACGTTGATGACACAACTCAGAGACGCTAACAGCGACCGAGTAAAATCCAACTAAACAAGATTCAGGAAGACCAAAGTTCCAATCCAACACCGATGTGAAAAGCAGGGGGGAAAATACAGAAGAAATAGATTGAACAAAAACTCATATGCATTAAAATGTAACAAAGAAACATAACCACAAACAACCCCCAAAAATCAAAGGAAGAAAAGAAAAGACATTACTAACATGATTAGCCGCTTGGGCGAAGCAATAGACATTTGATCAGTAAACAGTGAGAGGAAACGATCCTTTGAATAAAGACCAGCAGTGACCGAGTGGGCAGGGCGGAAAGATTGAGAGGAATGGAATGGAATGGGCGGCAGTGACTGAGTGGAGTGGAGTGGCAGGCAAGCCAAACATGAGAAGACGAAGGAAGGCAAGTGAACAGAGTCTGGCAGGCAGGCAGGCTTGTAGTTGTAGATCTTGAACATGTGGTCAAAGCGCCCCGTTGTCATTCCAACTGCTCCTTTCAAGAAGCCAATTTCGTACGTTTGCTAAACTTGGCCGGGTGACAATTCAGTCGTTATTTCAACGTTTAAATTACTGTCAAAGACACTGTCTGAAAATATATCCAAAAATACAAATATGGATATGGACTAAAAAATATATACCCAAAAAATATTTGGGCCAAGCTAGCCTAATCTAATTGAAAAACCTATTAGATCTATAAAATTCAAGTCCGGTTACACCGACCCCGAATTGTTAAACTTTTAAAAAAATTATATTTAAATTATTTTAGAATATTTTAATAATTACTGTCTTTAGTTGACATGTATTCTCTTAAAAAGATTTTTGCTGCAGAAAAAAAAAAAATTAATAAGTTTGTGTAAAATGAAAATGTATAAGAACATTTTGAGTTTAATTAGATATGTCAATTAGTGTTTTTGAGTTGCGTTGAATTACGAGTGTAATAAAAAAATTGTCAATTCAAACCAAAAATTTGACTTAAAATTTTAGATTTGAACATCATATAAATTTTTTTGAGTCGAGTTCAAGTCTATCTAATTTAGCTTCAAATCACTCAAAATTCAAACAAATTCGACACGAATTCAATATAAAATAGACCAAAAAAAAAATCTAAAAAGAAATTAAATTAAAAATAAAAATTTATGATGATAGAAAAATAGTAGTCAAACATTATAAACATAAACTCTATGTGAAATTTGGAAGAGAAATGGGATTTTAATTTTTGAGTTTCCACCGCTACGAGCCGCGTGCATGTATTTTTGTTTCTTCTGTACCACAGTAATATAAAAGATATAGATTAGTGTTGTTTTGGCTTTTGAGTGGGTCCTGTAGGGTAGGACTGTCCGGGTTTGTCTTTTATGTAATTTTTTTCTTTATATTTTTCAAAAAAAAAAAATTAGTATTATATATGCATTTATTATTTTTATATTATTTAAATAATTCTCTAAATTTCTTTCGAATCAAAATACAAAACAAATACACTTTAGTGTTTAGGGTTTATAATTTTTAATTTGAAATATTTTATATTTGTTTATTTTTTATGATTTATTTGGTGCTATACGAAACACAAAATTATTTGTTTTTATCTTCTCTTTTTTATAATTTTTTAATATTATTTTTTATTTGATATAAGATAGATATTATAAATTAAAATAATAAAAAAATAATTTTAGGTCAACTCAAAACTCGACTTGATTTTGATAGTTCAGGTTATCAAGTCAGTTTGAAATTCGACCTGAACACGATACGATTTTTTTCGTTTCACATTCTGATCGATCCAATTTTTTGCAAATTTGAAGTACTTAAACCCGAATCTGAAAATTCTCAGGTGGAGCGGATTCAATTTTTCGAGTTGGATTTGATTTTCACATAGCTAAGTTTAATGAAGTTAAAAACGAAAATATGAAAGAATATTTGAATAAACCAAAATATGAGTGAAGCTAAATTGGTAATTAAATAAATATATACTACACATTACTCATATGTGTTATACCATGACGGAACTAGGTTCTGAAGTTAGGGGTGGAGCTTTGGAATCTGTTTCAATCTTTTATGGTATTATTTTGATTTTAATATATTTTAAATTATTAATCGTCGATATTATATTCAAATCGACAGTTCAAATTTTATTTATTTATTTTTTTTTTGTAAAAATTATGTCAATTAAGTTTTTTTTATTACTTTAATTATATTTTCTTTTATTTATCTTAATACAATGGGTGATTAAAAAAAATAAATAAAAAAGAAAAATTAGTAAATAATGCAAAGAGACACTTGTAAAAATTTTTAGAGTAAAAAATTATATTTTTTATTTATATAATATATAATTAAAAATATTATATATTAATATAAATTTGAATAAAAAAATATTAACAAAATTTATTTGTTTAATATTTTAATTTGATGTAATTTTTATGTGAAATATAGAAAATAGTGTCGATAATATAAAAATAATATTTTATATTAAAAATTGTATAAAAAAATAAGGCAACAAACAATAAATATAAATTTGAGGGGGCAAAATAATATATTTGTCTAAATTTTATTTTTTAAAAGACATTTTTAACCTTAAGTTTGTAATACGGATGTATTTGTCTATATACATCCCATGAGTGGGGCTATACATGTATAATATGTGAATATTTTTAACCTTAAGTTTGTAATATGGATGTACTCACGTGAAAGACTAGTAATTAATTTGCAACATATATATATGCATATATACGAGGCTGAAGCTACATGCTGATAATTAAAATTCAGTATTATGCTAATTGAATATTAGTCATTGAATAATAATTTTTAATCTAATGACTTGTATTAATTTAAGGGTTTAATAGTAATTTTCTAATTCTCCTAATTTATATAACTATCTTAGTCGTCCATCATCCTTTCTCTTTCGCTTTAGCATTACGTAAAAAATAATTTAGAATCTTTCAGCAAAATTAATAGATGAGATCGATGGAGACGAACAAAATCAATTTTTCATTATTCTAACCCCAATCAATTTTTCATTCTTCTAACTATTACGTGAGTTTTGGATCTGGTCACCGCCCGGTGAATCTGCTCCGACCATTGCCTACCGCGAAAGCCCTTAAGCACCGGTTGCCCGCTATCGTTCCACCACCGCAAACCTCCGATCAAATTTCCCACTCAAACTCACAAATGAGAACTCTCACCTCCGATCATTTTCCAATCAAACCTTTCATTCCAAATAATCAATCTTTGCACCAAATCAATGCTTCAATTGCATCCGGTTTCATTGCACTGCGATATTGATCAAGTATTCTTCCACCGGTGCTAAATGCTGACTCTGAAGCAACAGTAGAAATCGGTACACTCAATATATCTCGTGCCATCTTCGCCAGTTCAGGATATCTACAACCATGAACTTTCCAATAGTCCAAAACATCAATGGAATGATATAGAATCATTCTTGGTTCCTCCAAATATATCTGCAATTCATTCTTTTGCTCACTATTTTGAAGGATCGAAAGGTCGAAAGAACAAAATTTCTGTAATTATGAATAATATCAAATACATTAATTTTTTTAAATATACAATTTTATTATGCAATAATTAAACATAAAAATAAATTAAAAACTCAAAATAAAAATACCTTTAAAATGTCCATATGATCGTTTTTCTTTGCTGCATCAATATTTTCCTCAAGAGTTAAAGTTCCTCTAGATGTAGAAGCACTAGATTTGCTAGAAAAACTCATGTACTCATCAAACATAGAGAATACTTTAGATTTCACGTTTTCAAATTTTGTTTTGTCTTGCCCATAAAGTTTAGAATAGGAGAACTCCACAAAATTCAATTTGAATCTAGGATCAAAAACTACTGCAATAGCAAATAAAGTACTGTACTCACTCTAATATTTGTCAAATTTCTGAAACATCCGAGATGCCATTGTCTTCAAGAATTTATCATCACTACACAACCCTTGATACAGTGTGACCTTAATCTTGAAAACGAAATGAAAGTACAAGTTTGCAGTAGGATACTTCACCTCAGAAAATATATTTGATGCAACATAAAAAACTTCTATAAATGAACATAATTTTTCAATCCTTGTCCATTCATCGGATGTTGGACAATACTTGAAATTAGAATCACTTAACCTCAAGTGATTGAAGACAAGCTTATAATACAAGGCATATGAAAGCATCAAATATGTAGAATTCCACCTAGTCGGCACATCTTGTCGTAATGCAGTCCTAGAGTCAAGTGAACATTGATTAACAGATTCTAAGAACTTCTGCTTCCGTACTTGACTCCCTTTCACATATTTGACACATTCACGAATATTTTCAACTGATTCATCAACATTCTTTAACCTATCTTGCACAATAAGATTGATAATATGGCAACAACAACGAACATGCAAAAACTCACCACGACATATAAGTTTTCACTTCAAAGAAAGCATGTTCCCAAAAATTTCAGCAAATACATCATTGGCTGATGCATTATATAGTGTAATAGTGAACACTTTTTTATGAATACCCCAAGTAGCCAACAAGCCAGAAATTTTCACATAAAGCAATGCCCGAATGAGGTGGTGGCATATAAGAAAAATTGATTATTTTCTTTTGCAACACCCAATTATCGCCAATATAATGTGCTGTCAAGCAAAGATAACCATCTGTGGCAATAGAAGTCCATAGATCACATGTAAAACAAATTCTACTAGAGCATGCACGCATCTATTCACCAAGTCTAATTGCTTCAGTCTTATGCATCTTAATGATATCGGCTCTAGCAGTATTCTTAGATATGTGATTGACTTGTGGCTCCAAATAAATGAAAAGAGATCGAAATGCTTAATATTCTACAAACTGAAAAGGCAATTCATGCTTGATAATGCCTAAGACAAGAAGCTCTCTAAACCATTCTTGATCAAATTTTTGTGTCATCACACCAAGACTATTATTGCCACAGTCTAATAAAGTTTGACCAATATCTTTAGATAATATCCTTGAGCATTTATCTATGTGACGTTGTAAGTTACCTGGTACTATTTCTTGAATCAACCCCTAATAAATGACCGCATGGTTTGCACTTGCATTTCAATGGTTTGCCCTCCTCTTGTGGCAACAACTCAAAATGTTGCCATACTTTAGACTTTAGTCTTCTTTTACGTTTGGAACCCGATATTGCTTCTAATTTCTTTCGATCGGTCTCTTGACTTGTAGAGTTAGATCCAAAAAAAGTGGCTTGGGGATCCATACTCACTTCATCCTCATCATCCAAAATCGCAATATCTTCGTTTTAGTTCATAATGACTTATATAACATAAACAAATTTTTATTACTAGTTATAATATACACATCCAGAGTATGCAAACACCAAATTAAATAATGACAGTACTATAAAAATATGAGGAAAAAGAGATTTGATTATATATATAAAAATACAACTAAAACAGACAAAACATCATTTTAGATAATATTTCATCTTAATGTTCATTATATTTTATAAACAATTTTTTATTACGGAAAA